ATCTATCTATCTATCTATCTATCTATCTATCTATCTATCTATCTATCCATATCTTGTGAGTAGAAAATAATTTTTAGTGAATTAATAAGATTATCTGGGTAGTTGGCAATCTGGATTTCTATGTAATTTAACCAAGGTTATCCATTGTAGAATCATATTTAAAGGCTGGAAGGGACTTTAATGGTCATCAGTTCTAGTCCCTTCACTTTACAGATGAGGAAACTGAGGCATAGGGAAAGTAAGGGATTTGGCCAAAGTCACATAGAGTACAAGTACTAGAGTAGAGATTAGAACCTATCTTCTCTAATTCTAAATTAGCTGACACCACTGGACCTACCACTTGGTCAAGAAAAAAATTACAATATTCTTTTCAAGAAAACTTTGAATTTTAAAATTAAGAAAATTGTTTGAGGTATTCTTTTCCAGTTTTCACTCTCAAAAATAGGCCTTTTTTTGATAATGTTCTTCAGACTCAGGATACGCACTCACCCCAACCCACCCACCCCTAGTTATATCGTGCCATTAAGCAGAATGCTAGAAACGTATGAAGCCATATCTGTGGAATGGCTTGAGGATTCAGTCAAAGCAAAGCAGAGAGCTTGATGGAGAACAGATGTGTGAAGGAAAAAAAATCCAGGAAGAGATGCTCACTTCAAAAATCCTGGTTCTTTCTAAAAATAGTGTAATCCCTGGATATCTCTCTTACTATGGAACAACTTAATAAGCCAGGCCATAGAAACTCACTGTCATAGGGAGAATTTGAACTGAGTAAAAAAAAAAGAGAGAAATAATTACTTTTCAACCAATTTGCTGCTATAAACACTCCTCCCCTCCTCTTCTATTCCTAGCTGTCTTGGGATGACATGGATTGTATTTACCAATTCCATTTCTAACTCAGTATCACACTTTCTAGAGGCCTTCAAACTGGTAGCCAGACAATTTAATGAAAGTTCATCAAAGATGTTCAATTCATCCAGCCCTCCTCTGAATAGAACCAACAATTCTGTGAATATTTCCTGGGCTAGGGGTTGGGTAACTCTCTCCCTTGG